ACCGCTAATTGCTTTTTTATTTTTCGAGATATTTGAGGTTTTTTTGCGTCACTTGACGGAGGAAACATTTTTCTACTAGAAAATATAAAAAATTCTCAATTTTCATATAAAATTATTTAGTGAATAATGAAATTCCTCGCACCTCCGAGATAGCTGTTCTTATTAGGAACATTGGCTGTACTTAGTCTAACTTGTTCTTCTATCTACTTTTATTAACTGAATTATTTGAATCAAATAAAATTTTCTTCTTTTTGTTTTCTGTAGTATAGTCTAGTGTGCAATATATTTAATCAAGTGTACAGACTAGCTGTAACATATGGTTTTTGTTTCAGATTTGTAAAATGTCTCTCAACAATAGCGAAAACGAAACAAGTGGTACTCCGCTCGACGATGGTCAAGGTCGTTGGTACGAGCTGCTTTCAGCAACATAAATTGAGCCACTTCAAAACCGGCTATAACAGCTCATTTCACCCTCATGCTCAGCTTTGGATAATGTATCATCATTCATGAGATGGATGATGCACTGGCAATCGAATTTCTCTTAAGTCTGCTGTACAGCTCCTTGTGGGTTGACCGATGATGACAGACACTCAAACCCTTCTCGGAGGGTTCAAAATAAAACTCACTCTCACCCTCACCCCACACCCCGAACATGTCTGATGATGACAGCTTAAGCAACTATCGAAATGCATCGTATGATCGCTTGGTATCTACTTATATAAACTCATCCTCACTCGCCACGGCTTCACCAGGATGGTTCTTGGTCTCGCGCGAATAGAATAACCATTCTTTTCATCAATTCAACGTGTTTTATTTGAAGGAAAAGGAAAAAACTAATCCATCGTTTTGAGTTTATTCGATTGAAAAAAGTTGAACACGATTGTTCTTCACATCAGCGACATAGATATTGCCATGTCGATCGAAGGACAAACCTTCGAGATCGTTGAACTGATTTGCTCCTGCTCCTTGGCCATTTCCACCCGCAATGACAGTACCATGTTTCGCTCCTTTAGGCCATCGCATCACTCGATTATTCGCCTTGTCTGCCACATAGATGGTACCCAACGTATCGACAAACAGACCTTGAGGAAGCGATATTTGTGTCGTAGCATTTCCTGCGCCTTGACCTCCAGCAACGATAATTCCTTTTTTTGCACCTTTCTTCCATTTCATCACACGATGATTGCGGTAGTCTGACACGTAGATAGTCTGTCGTCGATCGACAAAGATGTAGCCCGGAGCGTTGAGTTGATTGAGATCAGCACCTTCACCATTGCCACCAGCCACAAGAGTTCCATTCTTGTCTCCTATTTGATATCGTCTTACTTCATGTTTCGTGTAGTCAGATATGTAGAGATATCTCTGATCATCCATGGCCAATCCATAACAATCGATGTTGTCGGTGAGGATTTTTCCTTGAGTTGTGCCACTACGACGAGACCATTGTACGACGCGTTGATTCCCTAGATCACAAATAATGAGACTATCACTCTCTTTGTCGATCAATACATCGGTTGGTACACTTAATTGATCCAATCTATTTCCTTGATCATGACCACCAGCTACCACTTGTCCATTCGTATCATCCATCTTCCATTGGGTGACACGATTATTCTCCCACTCACCGATGACCATCGTTTGATCATTATCAACGAAGAGACCATTAGGGAACCAGAGTTGATTGGTGGCATTGCCTTCTCCATGGCCTCCAGCAACGGTCACCCCATTCTGCTTCCATCGGGCATCGGCTGGAATATTGGGACTTACTATAATGAACGAAAAAGAAAACGAATCATCGTTGTTGAAAATATCTTCCTCTCTCTCTATCGTGGGGAAAAGTGTTACAAATGAGAAGTGACACGAAATATTTGGCTATAGATTCTATTTCAATTGTCAAATGGATGGATCGAAAACCAGTTCTCATGATGTCTAATTTTGCTGACCCACGAACTATGACAAATATCAATCGTAAATTGAAAAACGGAAAAGTAATTCAATTACGTTGTCCAGTAATGATTCAAGATTACAATTTGGGGAAGGTGGTAGTGGATCGAGTTGATCAAAGAATTCAATGCTATGCTGTTGACAGAAAGTCAAGGAGGAATTGACTCCGGATATTCTTTCATTTTCTCAACGTGGCATTATCGAATGCTTTTGTGCTCTATTGCAGAGACCATCCAAATGACAATATGAGATATTTGCAGTTTCTAGTCAATATTGCTGAAGAACTAACCGGTCGTAGCACTTCAGTAAAAAGGAAAAGTGGAAGACCAGTAAGCAATTTCGGTGTCCAAAAAAGCAAAAAAGATGAAAGAAAAATATCTGTTTCTAATGCAATTTGATTTTCTAATGTTGATGCTCACCTTCCTATAGCCACATCTCGGAGAAGATGTGCGTATTGCAGCACTAAAAGTAACCCACAAAGATCTGCAATAGAATGTTCAACTTGCAAACTGGCTTGATGTGTTTCACATCAAAGAAACTGCTTCTTCTTATTCCATACTAATTAGCGTTGCACATTCATGGCTAACAGCAATGAATTTCTCGCGATATTCATGATTGTTCTGACCAGATTTGTTTTCTGTTGCTCATAAAAGTTTTTCTTTGATGTTTTTCGAATTCTGCTTATTTCTCAACATAGGATGTGTTCTTGTTTTTCTGCTAAAGCGGCATTGTTTTTACTAAATAGAGGTTTGTCACATTAGACATGCGTTTTGCTCATAGAATAAAATCGAACTTATCAAAGAAAAGAATTGATTGATTTTTCTAACTTTACTGCAATTTTACATAAAAATGCTTATCTCGATCGCAATAAGTGGACTCATTACACGTGAAATAACCCGATATTGTTGACCAGATCCTCGCGCGTCATAATGCAGATCAAGATCGAGCTAATTGAGCTATTAAGATCGACATAAGTCGTCCGTCCAAAAGTCGCTCGTCAAAGGGTTAAACAAACAGATAATAGAAACAGACATCAACTCGTATATATATAAAAGAAAATAGTCGCACATCCTTATGAATATCACATTTTTTATCATTTTT